TGCTGAGGAGAGAGCTCTGGAGCAGCTGCTGTCACAGGGTCCTGCAGCCCCATGGCAGCAGAGTTGGGCTGGTGGCACTGAAAAATGGAAAAGCCATAAAGGATTGTTTCAGTGAGAGGCTGAAGGAAAGTCAGTGTGTGCAGAAATTCAGACCTGCACCCATTGTCAGGAGGACGTGGCCAGTATCCAGGGAAAGAACAGCAGGAAAATAAATGATGCAGCTGCAATAAGGCAAGCTTGACCATGCATTGTACTGGCAGACCCACAGGAACATTATTAAGCAACCAAGAAAGGGCAAAACTTAGAGGTGCTTCTGTTCCTATACCAGAAGCTTAAAAAGAAGAGATAATGCCAGGCTTCCATTCACCTGCATGACAACCCCAATACTATCACAGACTCCTCAAAATGAGAGTTCCCAGATTCCAATAGGAAAAATGTAGAGCCAGGACTGTGTTACTGACCCCTTATCAGGATAAAGGTAACAATCAGCAAACATAAAATGAGGCTGGAGAAACTAGTCAGCTCAGTGATCCATCAGGAAGAAAAAAAAAGAAGTGGGTTTGGATACAATAAGGAGGCTCCTGAAAGCAGCAAGGAGGGGCTGCTGCCCTGGGTTTGGTGGGGAGCCACACATAGGACCTGCTTCACAAGGTGTTTGTGGGAGAGCTGTTCTCTGCTAGTGACCACAAAACAACCCATTTAATGCTGTTGTGGGAGAGAGCACACCAAATAAATCCAGAGTGTGGCTCTACAATTTCAAGAAAGGGAACTATGAAAAAATAAGGTGATTAGTCAATAACAACAAAACGAGAAGGAACAGGCAGAAAGCAAGGAGCCTGCAAGCAGTCTGGAGGTGATTAAAAAATGCTCTGTTAAAGCCCAAGTAAAACATGTGCCACTATTCAAAAAAACAAAAAAAGAACTAAGAGGTCCTAAAAAACACCCTGCCTGACTCACTGCTAAGGTTAAGGAGGTATCACAGGGAGAAGGTCAGCATTTTAGAAGCAGAAAGGTTTCCCACATGAGGAGAAAAGGAAAACCCATAAAACATAGCAAGTAAAGTGTAGACAGAAAATTAAAAGAGCTAAAAAAGAGCACAAAGATCTCATTGCAAAGAACTCTTTTAGAAAAAGTTTCTTTAAATACATCAGAGAAGGAAGTCAGCAAGGGAGCTATTGCTCAGTACAGAGGTGTAATAGGGTACTGAGGAGGATAAGGCATGACAAGGCAGCTCAGGTAGCTAAAACCCAGCCAAGTGCAGGGTTTTAGAGACAGTTTTTGAGAACAAATGAGATTCAGCAGTGAGGCTGCCCAAGAATCCTCTGTGTCTGGCTTAATTCAACATCCTCATTTGTGGCACTGGAAAGGGAACAGACAGCAAAATCTCTAGGTTTGTGGATGATGCTGAGCTCTTTTTGGAAATAAAATGTTTTGCCAGTGACAAAGGGCTCTAGGAGAACCTTGCAAAAGTGAGTAGGGCAAAAGGAGCTGCTGAGATGGATGTGCCGGGGAAAGCTGCAGGCTGGTGCCAGAGAAGCCATCTGAGGTTAGTGTGGATTAGAGGAATCCTTGGCCAGGTGAGCTAACTCCCTCCCCTCCATCTTCATCTAGCTGGACAAACGTGTCCCACTCTAACGTTGTGACTCATTAATGTAGCAACTGGCTGTTTCTCTTTTTCCCTCCCCTGAGGCTGAGACCTCATAAGACTAGAGGATACACAAAAGCTTGAGGCAGTGATAAATCTTCTTTAGTGGGCTTTTATTTCCTTTTCTTTCACAATATTTTCTTTAGTTTCCTAGCCAATTTTTTTTTTTCTAAGGAAAGATTTCTGACTTCCTTTGAGCCACAGCTCAACATCTGTCCACATCGGGGGCTGAAGTAATACACTGTTAAGGGGTTTTGATGTCAAGCCCAAAACCCCACCAGGGATTTATGCAGCTCTCCCCTTTCCTCCCTCCTCCTCCTCTTCAAACAGCCTTTCATTTGCTCTCACTAATTGTGCTGTCATGCCTTTCTTCCCCCCCCTACCCCCGGTTGTGCAGACAGCCTTTCATGCAGCCAGGTTTGGGTGACAGATGCCTGTGCCATGAGCCGGGTTGTGCTGCACAACGTGCGCATCGTCCGAGTGCTGAAACGATCCAGGCACCCATCCAGCTCGGGGACGGCTTAGGCAGTGGCTTCCCTACCCCCACTGTCTCCCCCTTCCTCCCCCGGAGCTGCTGGATAATCCCTGCCGGCCGGGAGAGCCCCGCCAGCCCACCCACAGGCACCACTTGCTGCTCCAAGTGGGCAGGGAAAGATGAGCTGAGCATCTCTTGGGGAAAAATAACAACATGGAAGGGGAGAGATCTTCAGGAGGATTTGGGCTGGGAACAAGGACACTGCAAAGCCTGGTGTCCCAGGGGAGGTGACTGTGGGTGAGAGCAGCACAGCCCAGTGTGGAACAGGGGTGTGCTGGGCTGTGACCCCTTCCTCCAGCAGGCCCAGCGAGCGCCGGGTGCTGGGTGTGAGGACCGTTGCTCTCCATCACTTGTATGTGATTGAGAAACAGGGCTTGGCCCTGAGGATGACATCAATCAACCTGCTCAAATGGAAACCTGCTCTCAGACCTTGCCAGCAAAAGGAGAATGACACTTTTGAGCAGCTACCAGATCTGGAAGTGTCTTGGACACCACAAGAAGTTAATCCAGGAGAGGCTCAAAGCCTAAATTTCCTCTAAGTTGTGTCTGTGCCTGGGGAAGACTCTGTTGTTGGCAGGAAAACTGGGCTATAGCAAGTGGGGCAACACACATCTCAAGGTCATAGATTACCCTTATCCTGCTACCTTTGTTTTATGCTCTCCTTTTAGTCAGAGGATAAGGAGGACAGTGAGTGGC